CAATTAGCCATTTTATGATAATCACATATAATCTTAAATATGTTCGTAAAAGTATATTTGTTGTGATGTATTTGAACATAATTTAGGTGATGAGAATGATTATCAATTTTAAACTTCATTATTATAATGCAACATTCTTCTAATATTTTATTTTATGTAATAATTTAATATGTAATGTTTTAATCATATGTTAGCATTATTTTCATTTTACTATCATTTTGCAAGAATTTAATTTTATAAAATTCATTTAAAGTATTACAGATTATTTTAAATTCTTTTAAAATGTAAAGAATTTGTTAACCTAAATAAAATAATAGTTATAAAAATGGATATCAATATTGGTAGCCGTGAATCGATTTATAAATCGATGAATCGTTATTAATCAATATAATTTTATATTATTAATGAAAAGTATTACAAAGATTTGTTTGAATAGATAGAGATTTGTATATAAATATATAATTTTCCAGTTTGTGCATTCAAATAGTTTAGTTATTATTACATAAAATTTATATTTAAATAGTTCAATTTCTTATTATATAACAAATTCCTCAAATTAGAATATTTTAGTATTTGGAAGTAAAATGTAATATTAGTTATGAACAAATATTTACGTTAGAGAAAAAGACTGAGAGAGAGAGAGAGAGAATTTTTATATCGATTCTATAATTAGGAGTTATGTAGAATTAGTAAAGTTTTCTTTATATTGTTGAGTTTTGATTACTTTTTTTCTGGTTTATTAATTATTATATGCATAAGCATATGTCGTATCGATTATGCATCTGCCGATGTGAAAATTATAACACTAAATATTCAAAACAATGTAAATTAAAAATTTTTATCGGCATCTTTGTTATAAAATTCTTCTTGATTTATATATATTAATGATTTATATATATTAATTATATATTTATCATAAATATTAAGCAATCTAGATGAAATACCAATGCAAACTTATTCGTGACAGTAGAATATCATTATGTGTACTTATTTTGTTTTTCAAATATAAAATAAACATAGCAAATATAGCGGAATATTAAAGAAGAATAGGAATATTAAAAAGTAAAATATATTGATGAAATAAACGATTGCATCTAAATAAGTAACTGAAATCATTTTGATATTTATTTCAAATATCTTTACTTACCATTTCTTCTTGATATTACTGGGAATTTTTCATAACAATCTTCCAGACAAGGATTCCTGCACATCGGCACGATTACTAAAATTCAGAAAGATCTGTTTCTTTATAACTTATCTACATTTTAGAACTTTATAATTTTACTCTTATTTAAACGTTTTTAGACTACTTTCGTATAACTAACTGTATTTTTAATTATTAAATAAAAGTATACTGTTAAATATGCTACGATTCTCTTCGAATTGTATTCAATGGTACAATATAAGCCTTATTCTCATTTTTTTTAAATATTTGTAAGGTTATTGATAGTTATTTGGATATCTTTTTTTTTTAAAAAAGCCTTTTAGGAGATGCAATTATATATTGTTAACTTAGTGTCATATGTATAAACAAGCTGTCACATTCCTGAAAGGAATACTACACTGTATCAATGTTATTAAAAAATTATGTATACATATGTAATTATTTTTTTTAATACATAAATGCCTTATATATTAGTTCATCTATCTAATATTTCTCTTATTTTATCTATAGGATCGGTAAAATAATTTATAAATCAATACTAGATTTGCTTAATATAATTAAAGAATCTTTATTAAGAATTTGAATTGACATACATGTGTGATCTAACTGTTGTTCAATAATTAATTTTAATTTCTCTTTATAAATTGTGCATTTACTTAAAACATGCATTGAATTTGCAGCTGAGGTTTTATAATAATTAAAAAAAAATTTGTAATATAAAAAGAATACCCATTTACATATATTGAAATCTATTAAACCAAGGATCTTAAAGTAAATAAATAAATACATATTTCTATAGAATACGATTTTTAACCATTGTTTACTTTGTTTATAATTTTTTTAATGAAACATTTAGCTTAAGTTATAGAATTGAATATTTTCTTTATAAAATATAATATTTATTATTTAAAAAAAAATATATAATTTAATATAAAATTATATATACAAATATTTATATTATTTATATAATTGTTGTTTTACATTAACTTATATAAAGCTACATATACATTATTTTATTGTAAATACCTATTAATAGAATTTAAATAATAATATAAAAAAATATATACAATTGTTTATGTATCTTACTTTTGCAATTTGACAAACAGGAAATCACAGAGGAAAATTGTTGCAACTCTAACCAATATAAAAAATAGAAATTATGTTTTAAATTTATATAAAATTATGTAAATTAGATAATAAAATAAGTGAAATGTTAGGTATATCGGAAAATTAATGAAAAATAACTATTCACTTAAAATGTATTTGAAAAAAGAATTGAAAATTATAACATAATATTTAGGTAAAACATGTAAAAAATACGAAATACTGGTAAATAATATACAAGATTTTAATAATTTATTTACAGTTATAATATATAATTATACTTGGTTTACTATAAATTATTCACGTAAAAGAACAATTACACAATATTGAATTTCAAATAATAATTCAAAAATTTAATAACAATGCTAATTAAAATATATTTATTAAATATAATTCAAATCTTAATCACAGATTACTCACAAAATTGTTTCTACGATTTTTGAATAATGATATCATAAAAATATAATAAACAAATATCTCCATGAGATTACTTACTGGAAAATTTTTTAATACAGGAATACATGCAATCTTCTCTTTCGGTTATTTTAACATCTAAATATTTATTAAGAATTTCAATTTTATAATTTTGATAAGTAGTTTTAAATATCAGTTCATTTAGAAAATATGAAATTATAAAATCGATTATAAAATGACACTTCAGTTAATAAATTAAATATTCCAATAATCTTACTATCGCAGCATGCCAAGCAGGATTCTTTTGTATGTACAGTCCTAACATCTATGTTAAATAATATAATTAATTTCTTAATTTAATGTATATAAAATATATAAGATAACTTATGAATAATATATTTACATACCTTCGATGAAAAATGTACAATAACTCATAATCGAGATAAATAATGAATACTTCATTTGCACAACGAATAAAGTTATTGTTTAATAATAAAAGCAATAATTATAATTTATACAATTGAATAAACACATATACTAATATGTTTACATATACAAACTTAGTCCCTATAGGTTTTTAAATTTGTAATAAAAAAATATACCTTTGACGTTGCATGTATAATATGCATATATATATATATATATTGTATTAAAAGATATGTAATATATAATATCTAAATGAAAAAAATAGTTAATAGTTTTGTTATTCCTAACTCTTTTTAATAACAATACCATTAAATAATGCTATTAAATATTTTCAATAATTTTTATAACGAAAAAAAACATGATTATGTTTCTTGTATCGATAATCATATTGGACGTGAACTATATTTTTTAATTATTCGATATATATCGAAAAATACATAAATTTTAAATCCAAGTAAAGAATACAAGCCGTATGAAATTATATTACATGCATAGAAAATTCGAGATGTAATTGGGGTTATTAAACCATGGTATGATACATGGCCATAGATAATGTGAATAATTCAAATTTTCAAGATTCAAATAATATGGTTGTTAACTGTGTTATTCCTTGAAATGAACTAAAATAGTATAAACTAATTAAATCAGACCTAAAATATTGGATGTACAGGCTAAAAACCTTTTAAGTATTAAATCTTAATGATCGATAACATAGTTTATGAATTATTCAAGAAAAAGAATCGCTTTAAAACATTGACGATAAATATAAATATTTCGTACAAATATAATAATTCACAATAAAATGAAAAATAAAAATGACAAATTATTAGTTGTAATAAATGAATTAGTAATTCCATATTATTTATAATACAATATTATACTATAATAATATAAAATAAATAAAATAATATAAATTAATAATATAATACTATAATACTATATTATAACATAATATAATAAAATATAATACTTTTTGTATTGAAGGTTTTAGAATTTCCCTTTTGTCTTTCATGATAAAGTATTATCCAAAACAAACGAAATTATAAAAAATGTTTGCAATTTACAATATTATAGTTTTTTGGATATCTAATAATCGATATTTGATTGACTTGTTATATTTAGGGTTTGAATGCATAAACACATTTAGAAGAGTTTCAATCATTTTCTAATAACAGAAATGAACTAAATATTTAGTTTAAATTAATAAAATGATTAATTTTTTCGAATGAATAAAATACAATTTCTGAAAAGCCGAATTTCAGAAATTCTTATATAGTAATGTAGGAAAAAGATTAATTTTCTTAATTTTTATATTACGCAACACACATACTCCCTCTCTCTCTCTCTCTATATATATATATATATATATATATATATATATATATATATATATATATATCACAAACTCACTCGCGCCCACACTGGCAGAATACACACACTCGCACACACTCACACAACACACACACACACACACATATATATATATTTGTAATTATTTAAACATGTGATTATAGTCTGCGTTATAAATAATATAAACATTATATTGTTTAGTGAGTTAGAATTTTAAAAAGCAAATTTGCAACTTCAATTTTCATGTAATATTTTATACATTGATAAAATATTTTGAACTTTTTATCGTGGAAACGAAACAAATAAATCGCTCTTTGACAATCTAGTTGATTAGATCTCGTTTTTTTTACAGCCATTACTATCATTTTTATTTAATTTTGTTGTTGTATATATCATTATTTTTCATCATTTGCATTTCGATATAAGATTATAGTATAGAGCAACATATTGTAACTTAATATATCATATTTGTAGTATTTCAATTATATATTTCAAATTTCAATTTTGTTATCATTCATTCATTTATATTTAAACTCTAGGACTATAATTACATGGAATTACCTATGCCACATACATCTAATATTTTAATAGCTCTTATTTTAATAATTTATTGTACGTCACGCCATACTCCATAAACGATCGGTGTCGTGTATATTCCCACATTTGATCTGTGCTCTGGAAAATATACAATGAATTATACAGGTATTCTATTTATTTTTATAAGAAATTTATTAATTATATAATAATAATATAAAATAATAAAATATATAGAAAGAAAATACTAAAAGTATAATAATTTTTACATAATTTACTCACTTTTTGGAAACATGTCATGACATGCATTATTGCACCCTGCTCTGCATTCAGGAACAATAGCTAAATAGATGATAAAAATTTATAGAAAATTTTAGACACTTGCTTTAATAACATTATTACATACATTAGTAAATATATATTAATTTTAATAACATCCATAATTATATATTTATTTTATATTATATATTTCATAATAATTTAATATGTAAAATTTAATATAAATGCAGAAAATTGAATTCTGTAGAACTCGTTTGTGGAAATGAAAATTAATTTATACAACATATGCATTTTAAATTGTCGAATAATATCAAAATGTATATAATAATTATGCTTTTGACTAATAGAATTAAAGAATATTTGTCTTACTTTTACAGTTTTTCAAGCAACTATCAAATGACCTAATAGGTTTTATTTCTAAAAATACAAAAAAAGTCATTAATAAAATTGTAACAAATAATACGAGTATAATGAATTAGTAAAATAATAACCCCGTTGTAAATTTTATTTTATTTAATAATTATTTTATTTTATAATAATAAATTATGACAACGTATTATATAAGTGCTTTTGTATCGCAAGTCAACTACTGTAAGTATATATTTTAAGAATATAGATTTATAACTGTTTAACTACTATTAAATTCATTTATCATAATTTCAAATAGAATAACTGTTAACTATTATTTAAGAATTTATAATAACGCAGTCATCGCAAAACATTATCTACAAATTAAAATATTTTATACTTTGCGTTTGGTTATTAATTTTCTTGCTTATGCTTAATCACATATGTATAAATTTATTTTTTCTAGTGCATCAGTAGAAATGAATTAATTTAGGTCCCGATATTGAACATAAAATCAGTAATGTAATATTTTGAATATATTTATCTTTGTAAAGAAATTTTTCTTTGTAAAAAAAAGAAATCAAAAATATTTGAAATTAATAACTATACCAAGTCAAATTTTAAGAAGATAAATTAAATAAAAAATAATTTTTATGATAAAATCGTAATATTTATGAATCTTCAAACATTATATAGAATTAATTACAAATCGTACTTTTAATCCTTTAAATACGATTTATAAAAAATCTGTCGAATACAGACAGTAAAAGTGCAACATTCTACTTACTCGCAAACTTTTTAACGCACGAAAAATTACACTTGTTCCGCTTGCTACTAGGAAGCTCTATATTTCAAAACAAAGTCATTGTTATTAAAAGGAAAGTATTAGTAATAAAAATTTCATGAAAATCTTTTGAAAAGTAGTTTACAATTATTTCAATCATGAATTAATCTAATTTTGAAAGTTTATATAATTACATTTTAATTTAATTTTTTTAATTGAATATGTATAATTAATTTCATACACAAACAAACAAACATATGTATGTATATATTCATTTATTATTTTTATCAATACATTTAAACCTTTTCTATAAAATGAAAATTTTAATAATTGAATTTTAATATATTTAATGTTAAAGAATGAATCCGTGGTTATCAAATTTATTGTAAAACTATGACAATTCGAAATTATCAATATATAAAATTTTGCTACTAAATTTCATGGTTATTAATCAATTTTTGTTTTAAAGAAATGAATGTATATCTTACGGTTACAGCATGCAGCACACTCCTCTTTTGCATATGGAAAATATAATAATGTTGTGGAAACTAAAAATGATATTTTTATTTATTTAACATCGTGTATATAATATTATTATAAATTAGATTATATGCAATAGAATAAAATATTTTACTATTTATGAACAAATATTTACGTTAGAGAAAAAGACTGAGAGAGAGAGAGAGAGAATTTTTATATCGATTCTATAATTAGGAGTTATGTAGAATTAGTAAAGTTTTCTTTATATTGTTGAGTTTTGATTACTTTTTTTCTGGTTTATTAATTATTATATGCATAAGCATATGTCGTATCGATTATGCATCTGCCGATGTGAAAATTATAACACTAAATATTCAAAACAATGTAAATTAAAAATTTTTATCGGCATCTTTGTTATAAAATTCTTCTTGATTTATATATATTAATTATATATTTATCATAAATATTAAGCAATCTAGATGAAATACCAATGCAAACTTATTCGTGACAGTAGAATATCATTATGTGTACTTATTTTGTTTTTCAAATATAAAATAAACATAGCAAATATAGCGGAATATTAAAGAAAAATAACTTTTTATGTAAAATACAGTGACGAAAAAAACTATTACATGTAAATAAGTAATTAAAATCATTTTGATATTCATTTGAAATATCTTTACTTACCAGTTTTTTTTGTTTGTGAGGGGAAGGTCTCATAACAATCTTCCAGACAAGGACCCCTGCACAAAGGCACGATTACTAAAATTTAGAAAAATCTGATGTTTCTTTGTAATGTATATACACATTAAGAATTTATAATTTTACTAAAAAATGTTTGAATTTGTTGAGTAAGTATATAATATTAACTATTATACGGTTATTTTTTAAATTTATTTACTGGCATAATATATATACTATAATTTTTGTTAATCTCCCAATATAGAATTTGAAACGAAAATATTTATATTATTCATTCAAGTGTGGTTTTCAATAAATTATAGATTCGATAAATACCGATTTTCATATCATTTGTATCTTCATCTTTATTGTAAATGTGTTTTTACATTAAATGTTAAATTAGTATATTATGTTTTGTGACAAATAAATTTATTATAAATTTCATTACTCAATGTTTGATAATTCCATTATTAAATTGAATTGTTTAATTTATTTTATTTATATTTTACTCTTAGAAATTGTTTTATTTTTCTGCGAAGTTGCAAAATATTTGAATTTCAAATTGACCTCAATTAGTTCCGATGGAACTAAAAGAGGGTTTGAATAAATATTATAGATAAAAAATCCAAAACAAATTTTTAGTTCTGAAGTCCATTTTGTGCTTAACGACTTTATTCTTGTTTATTAAAAGCCAAATTATGTTAATAATTTTCAATAATTTCATCATTTTCTTTTATTTGCATAATATACGAAATAAAATAAACTTAGATAATTATCTAATAATAGCAACTATATAAATATACATAAACGTTCAAATACTTACTTTTGCAATTTGTAATACATGAAGTTATAGTAGTGTAATCCTGGGGCACTAAAACGTATATAAAAATAGACATTAAATTATATATTTATTAAAAATATATATAAATTATATAAAATAATTAAATAAAAGAATGTTGATGTACGATATAAAATTAAAGAAAGAACTTTTCAATAAAAATATATTTGATAAAAAAGAAAAATTATCATATAAAAAAGTATAAAAAAATCATTTTTAAAAACAGTTAGAATTTTTGAATTAATAAATAACATATTTTAGATAAAATTTTTGAAGCACAATTTTAAATATACGAATTTTATGTTTAATAAAAAAATTCACAAGTCTTAAGGTATATCAATATCTTTAATAATACTTTAGTTGTAAGACAAATATTAATACTATTATAATCAATACTATGTATTTGTGGATTTATTTGTACTGAAATGAAAATTATATAGAAAACAAATTTATCAACACTTCATTTAATATCTTCTATATTTTCGAGGCATAAATTTAACATTGATATTCTATGCGGTAATAAGAAATTGATTTTTGATAAAATTGACAAATTATGAGCTTAAATTTTAAGCAAATCATAAGATCTAAAATACACTGGTAAATAAGGTAAATGAATTAACTAATTTATGACATGGTTATAATTTATAATTATTCTTAGTTTATTATAAGTTATTTACATAGAATAAAATTACGCAATATTGTAAATTAAATTTGCAAATTCAATAATAACAATATTGGCCAAAATGTATGTTTCAATTATAATTAACAATCATAATTATGACTGCATATTAACTTTTTAGTATTATGTTTGAATAATACTACAATAAGAATATAATAAACATATATATCAATGTGATTACTTACTTGCAAACTTTCTAACACAGGAAAACCTGCAGTTTTCTCTTTCGTTTCCTTCAGTATCTAAATATTTATTAAGAATTTCAATTTTATAATTTTGATAAGTAGTTTTAAATATCAGTTCATTTAGAAAATATGAAATTATAAAATCGATTATAAAATGACACTTCAGTTAATAAATTAAATATTCCAATAATCTTACTATCGCAGCATGCCAAGCAGGATTCTTTTGTATGTACAGTCCTAACATCTATGTTAAATAATATAATTAATTTCTTAATTTAATGTATATAAAATATATAAGATAACTTATGAATAATATATTTACATACCTTCGATGAAAAATGTACAATAACTCATAATCGAGATAAATAATGAATACTTCATTTGCACAACGAATAAAGTTATTGTTTAATAATAAAAGCAATAATTATAATTTATACAATTGAATAAACACATATACTAATATGTTTACATATACAAACTTAGTCCCTATAGGTTTTTAAATTTGTAATAAAAAAATATACCTTTGACGTTGCATGTATAATATGCATATATATATATATATATTGTATTAAAAGATATGTAATATATAATATCTAAATGAAAAAAATAGTTAATAGTTTTGTTATTCCTAACTCTTTTTAATAACAATACCATTAAATAATGCTATTAAATATTTTCAATAATTTTTATAACGAAAAAAAACATGATTATGTTTCTTGTATCGATAATCATATTGGACGTGAACTATATTTTTTAATTATTCGATATATATCGAAAAATACATAAATTTTAAATCCAAGTAAAGAATACAAGCCGTATGAAATTATATTACATGCATAGAAAATTCGAGATGTAATTGGGGTTATTAAACCATGGTATGATACATGGCCATAGATAATGTGAATAATTCAAATTTTCAAGATTCAAATAATATGGTTGTTAACTGTGTTATTCCTTGAAATGAACTAAAATAGTATAAACTAATTAAATCAGACCTAAAATATTGGATGTACAGGCTAAAAACCTTTTAAGTATTAAATCTTAATGATCGATAACATAGTTTATGAATTATTCAAGAAAAAGAATCGCTTTAAAACATTGACGATAAATATAAATATTTCGTACAAATATAATAATTCACAATAAAATGAAAAATAAAAATGACAAATTATTAGTTGTAATAAATGAATTAGTAATTCCATATTATTTATAATACAATATTATACTATAATAATATAAAATAAATAAAATAATATAAATTAATAATATAATACTATAATACTATATTATAACATAATATAATAAAATATAATACTTTTTGTATTGAAGGTTTTAGAATTTCCCTTTTGTCTTTCATGATAAAGTATTATCCAAAACAAACAAAATTATAAAAAATGTTTGCAATTTACAATATTATAGTTTTTTGGATATCTAATAATCGATATTTGATTGACTTGTTATATTTAGGGTTTGAATGCTTAAATACATTTACTAGAGTTTCAATCATTTTATTTTAACAGAAATAAACTGAATATTTAGATTAAATTATTAAAATTATTTATCTTTCTGAATCAAATATATTATACGGTTAGTCTTTAAATAAAGAATAATTATAATAATTATTACTATTATATGAAATGTATTATGTTTATAATTTTCATGTTGATAATTAAATTTCGATTTTAATTCAATTTATTATTATATGTACGTTATAATAGCATTATAATTAAATTTAGATATTTCAAGGTCGAATTTTAAGATAATCTTGAAGTTTTTTGAAATTAATATTTATTGAAATAAATTCTGTTAGTTGCTAATTTATTTTCCCTATACATTTTGTTTGTATTTAACAGCGTGTAACGTTCGATAGAGTAACGATTTATTTGGAGTCACATATTAGAAAAAATTGATTGTTCACAATAGCTTATGAGGTCGATAGTTAATTTATTACTAAACGGATATGGATCATGAACATCAGTTTTTGAGATATTATTACTGCAATCTCAAAGCTCAAAATTTTCGATTCTATTATTATATAATAATAATTAAAAGCATTCGGAGAATGATCTAAGAGGACCAATGCAATCTTCACAAACTTTTGGCATACGAGATCATTAATTTTTTTATGCTTAAGCTTATTTTTAGTTCATGACATGTAATTTTCGATATGCATTTTAGCAAAGATATGCATATTATGAAAGATTATTATTTTACTTTCATTTTTATTCTGATTTAATTAAAACTATTAACATGAATAAATTTCAATATCGACTTGCGATTTAATACATATACATTTGTTATTGTCTCTCTCTTTTGTCTATATCTCCAGATGTAAATTTGATGTATATATAAGTAATGTGAATATTAATTATTACTTCTGGATACCGAAAAACCGAATAGCAGGAATTTTTATATAACATTAGAGGTAGCAACTTATATTTACGAATTGGTTTATGTATAGAACTATTATTGTATGGAATTACGTATTTTATACTACTAATATTTTAATAAATACTCAAAGTGTTGAATATTAAAGATTTAGTTAGTTTGTAATTTCTAATATCACTACATATTTTCTGAAATTTTTTTTATAAGATTATATTGAAACTATTTCATTACCATTTCCTTATTCAATATTGTAACTTACATTAAATTAGTTCTACTGATGCATTAGAGGAAATAATGTGTATATTTAAGCATACATAAAAATATAAAAAACTATAATCAAAGCATAAAATATATAAAGTTATAGAAAACTGTTTTCATTGTGTTATTAGAAGTTATTAAATATTATTTATCACTGCTTCTGTTTAATATTATGAACAATGAATTGCAATTGCAGTTAAAGAGTTATTAAACTGCATTTTGAAAATATATACTTACGAGAATTCAAATTAATAAATTTTACAATAAATTATTAAACAAAATAAAAATTTTCTTAAGTTTTTTTAATCTTATTTTTTCATTATAATATAATTATGTATTATACTCTGCTTACAATAATAATTTTGTAATTTTTAGAAACTAGATAGTCATTTTAAAATTGTATTTACGACGTATTATCCAGATCTTTTTAAAACATTAATATATGTATTTTCATTTTTCTTTGAAAATTCTTTTTCAAAAATCTTGAAAATTTTGAAAAATCTTTTTTTTTCAAGTATCATATATTATTAGCATCAAATTTCATTTTTTCAAAAATTGTAAAAATGTAATTATTCTGTATTTATATTTATCTTAGATATATTAAAAATGAGATGATATAAGAACATATGTAATGACTCCAATGAAAGAATTATTCCAAAAAAAGTTCAATATCATATGCGTATCCAGAGCCAGGGTACAATAGAATATTCGTATATATTAATATATTATCATACTGAAAATAAATTAAAAGAATTATTTAATATTATTCTGATTAACTTATATATACTAACGTTAATTTACATAAAATTTATATAAAATTTGTTAAACGATATAATTATTATGAAATAAATAATTCATTATTGTCGTTTTTATATATAATTTTCTATTAAATCTTTTATTTATATATGTAATCGAAAAACGTAATCTACTTTTTAATTAGTTATACGTATTTTAACATGTATTATTTAATATCATATACAATTACATTTCTGCATGTC